GAAAATAAATCATATAATAATTTTTATTTCTATTGAGTTTTGCGTTTAGAAATTACGTAATCAGTTTGACAATGAGATAAATGTATACCTTTAAAATGTTTTGGAAAAGCAAAATAAGTTTGCAACATCAAGGTTATCAAGAGACTGAGCCCAGTTTGAATGACTGAATGGATGCTACATATAAAAAGAAAACTGATCTTCATGAAATCAGAATGCAACATTAGCTGATCACAAAAAAACAATCAAGTCCTTTGTAGAAAAGCTATATACCCTTTAAAATAAAAAGAATCTCTAACTAACCTTTATGAAGTCACAATTCCGGTCTATTCCTACAACTTGATTTAATGCCTACAAAAACTATAAAACAATAAAGATTGTGAGTTTTCAAAAAAAAAAAAAGGTTATGATACATTGATTCTAGTATAATCAGAAGATGATTTTTACCTTTTCTCTTGTTATATGATATTCGCTGTTGTTCATGCTCATCAAAGATATGGAGCTTTAAGAAGCAGGTAACCAAGTAAAATAGTTAAATATAAAAAAACACATAACAAAGTTACAGCTTAATTATTAAAGCAAGATGATAAAGTAATGCCAATCAACACCCAGCGCCTTGAAGCTATACATGTAAAACATATTATGGCGGCTACTTCCTTCCTCCTTTAAAATTAACAACTAGTGAGTAATGAATGCTTGCATGACACGTCATCTTTCCTAAAATGTATAAACATCCCAATTTCTATCAAAACAATTAGCTCATCTCTTTTCAATAACCCTAGAAATTGCAACATTCTAATATCAGATTCCAACAAACTTATTAACAAAAGTTATAACGACATTACAATAGTCACAAGCTTAATTGCAACTTGTTCAATCATCTCGGCATTGGTACCTGGAAAACAAAAGGGAAAATGAATTACAAGTCCAACGAAGTTTTCAAATCGTTCAAAAAACCCCAATTATGTTTTGTCTGTTCAAGAAAACCCAACGAACTTAACCTTTTGTTTATAAAAACCCAACTAACTTATACTTTTCATTTAGGGTCAACCGGATAATGAAAGTCAACGAATGACATGGCTGATGACATGTAATTAAATATTGGAAAATGACTTGTAAGACCAACAAAGTTTCAAAACTGTTCAAAAAACCCTAATCATGTTTTGTTTGTAGAAAAAAACCCAACGAACTTAAGCTTTTGTTCAATTCTCCTTAGAGGCAACCAGATTCATTAGGAATACAACTAGTTGGCAAATGACATGACATTATATTTAATGACATGGAATAAACAGATTAGAATTGCCCTTTATATATCGATTTAGGGCTTGGAGAAGAGAAAAACATACGACGTCTGTGTCTATCTCTTGTAATAGCTACTTCTTCTTCTTCCCACTACAAGAAGAAGACCATTTTACGACGCACAAACCACGGCACTCATTGATTTATGTTACGCAAAAGAGAGTGACATTAAAAAAGTGTCATCTGTTCAAAAATTTAAGGATTTATGTCGCGCATTATTGTGCGCCCTTAAATTAGTGTCTAAACAAAAAAAAAACACGGAGGGCACCTACAATAAAATGCGTGTCGTCTAAGGGTGTCGCTTTATAAATTTTAATGGAACGCGCGTTTTCAACCTTTAAGAGCTAAGCGGGAAACGGAATCCCCACAAATTAGAAAACCCTGCCTTGTTCTCATCTTCCTTCGTTTCTACTTTTCTCTTTTCCATGGTTTCGCTTAATGAAGCTCTGCGGATTCCATGAGTTATCACACTCTAGGGCTTTTTTCAAAAATTTTTGGTTCAAGTAATATCTCCATTTCTCCATTTCAATCTCTCTCTCAAAACGTCAAACAGATTGAAAAGATTTGAGATGGAGGCTCGAGGGAAAGAATAGGGAAACGACGGTGGCTCCAAAGAAAAAAAGACGCCACACCGGTGACTTTAGGGATGGAAGATAACTACGATGAGTGGTCAAACCTCATGAAATTGATCCACAATTTCTACATTTCTCCTACCTTTCTCTCCCTCCCCTTCTTTTTCACCATAATCATCTTCTTATTCATTCACAAAATTTTCAACATGAAAATCTCTGCTTCACATTTCAGTCATTTATATAAATCCCCAATTATTCAACTTGATTTCGAACCCTACCTACATCATCATCCTGGAAAAACCCTAGCACATCATCCCTAAAACGCCCAATAGAAAAACCCAGATTTAAATCCCTAAATGATTCAAATGATGATGAGAACTTGGATGAAGTCGCACCTTCTTCACCTTCCGGTTCGATTTCATTGCATTGTTGATTCAAAGTTTTAGGTAATTTTTCTTGATATTTTTATCCTTAGATCTCTTCAACTATCTTCAATCGATCGCTTCAATGTCTTCAATCGATCGTTTTTTCTTCCATCACCACCGGTCCTCTTCTTCTTTATTCGATTCCCAGGATTGATTCATGAAATCGATTTTATAAAATATATTTACAAAATTGAGATAAAGCACAACGCTTTTGATATCATTTCTTTGGGAAAATGCAGGTAACAAAGAAGAAATTGAGATAAAGCACAAACATCAAATGGTGCCCCCCATCTTCCCCACGTAAAGAAGAAGTACTTGAGAAGCGAATCATATGCAGGTAATTAAAAAATGGTCTCATAGACTTGATAAAACTTAACCTAATCAACTATTGTTGATAATATTAAGTGACATAGTTTTTAATTACATTTACCCATCCGAACAAGCCCTAAACATTATCTCTGGATGATCCTCCATTCTAGATGTCCAAATCCGAAAAGGGCGTCTACATCCACAAGAGTTTGCATCATCAAATATCTTCTTTGTAGATCTTGAGTTGGACATCAACGATTGAGAGGAAGAATAAGAAGTAGCTATTACAAGAGATCGAACACAGACGTCGTTTGTTTTTCTCTTCTCCAAGCCCTAAATCGATATATAAAGGGCAATTCTAATCTGTTTATTCAATGTCATTAAATATAATGTCATGTCATTTGCCAACTAGTTATATACCTAATGAATATGGTTGCCTCTAATGAGAATTGAACAAAAGCGTAAGTTCGTTGGATTTTTTTCAACAAACAAAACATGATTGGGGTTTTTTGAACGGTTTTGAAACTTCGTTGGTTTTACAAGTCATTTTTCGATATTTAATTACACATCATCAACCATGTCATTCGTTGACTTTCATTAGCTGATTGACCCTAAATGAGAAGTGAACGAAAATGTAAGTTAGTCGGACTTTTTAGACAAAAGGTTAAGTTTGTTGGGTTTTCTTGAACAGACAAAACAAAATTGGGTTTTCTGAACGGTTTGAAAACTTCATTGGGCTTATAAGTCATTTTCCCAAAACAAAAAAAATGAAATCGAAATTTTACCTACACAATTCAAATGAAGAAAAACAGAAATTAACACAAAATGAATGTTTTTTTCATTCATAAAGACCTAGAAGCTACCAAAAAAGATAATTCTAACATAGCTGAACAGAATCGGTGCATAAAAATGCCACATACAAAGAAAATAGTAGGCTAGTCCCTAACCTTAGTATCTTTCATTTACAACACTCAATGGAAGTCAAAATGACATGAACTATGTTTTCAACTTTTTGGAACAGCAGATGGAGTTCTCTGTTTTTGTTATGTTTTTAATCGAACTCTCAAACAGTCTTTCCAGCAAACTACTGATGAAACCATTGTGGTGTTAATAATTCTTGACAAAGCTTCATAGGATCACCACAACCCCCCTTTGGGTTCAATCTAGTCTAGCAAACAAATATCAGAAAATTAATCTTATAATAATTCATAAAAAGTTTGACATGAGAAATTAAGAAATCAATTTGACAATGAGGTAAATGTTTACCTTTAAAGAGTTTTGTAAAAGCAAAACAAATTTGCAACATCAAGGTCGTGAAGAGACCGAGTCACCTATACATCAAGATTCCATTTCAAACAAATTTGGAACAAGAAAAAATGAAGTAAATATTGGAAATCACTGTCCATAAAGTCTTGTTTTATATCACATAAGGGTTTATCAGTCAGATGGAAACAAACCTTGTAAACTAGAAGCAGCACCATATAAATGTCTTCCTTTGTAAACTATCTTCAGCTTGATCTTTTATTTCCTCTGATGCTTTCATTTCAAAAATCATTACATCCATCGACCTTTAATCTTTTATTGCTTGGCTGTAAGTGTGGAAAAGTGAAAAAAATAGATTTGAACTGGATTAGTAAGATATTTAAAGGTAAAATTTTGTAGATGTACACCTTAAAAGCATAAGTAAGATTTATGTTCATAACAGTTACACTTTCACAAATATAAGGAAATGCATATTGTATTAAGATTATATTTTAAAATTTATTTGACTGAGCTAAATAAATCAGTTATTTAAGTTATATACAATGAAACTGAAAAAAAAAGTTCAAGACAAACAGAGGGCTGTACCTTCGTGTTAATCTTGTAATTACTCCTTACTCGTCTGTCGTGAAGCAGGGGATAAGGGAGATGTGGGGCCAATAGGAGCCTCCTCTACTAATCTTTTCTTTCAGATTTGCGCATCTTTCTACTCTCAATGCCAGAAGTGAAGGCAACAATTTCTCTGGTAAATCTATTGTCTTTGGGCAGTTCTCAATGAAGAGATGTTGGAGGGAGGTGAGGTGTTGGAGTCCCGTTGAAACCGATTCTAGTTTCTCAAATCCATCTATGCCAAGAATAGTAAGAGATGAAGGAAAAAGATGTGACAACTGATCAAACTTTTTCACATCATCATATGGCCCGCCATGTAATAATAGGTTGTCAAGTGAGGTTGGGAAATTCTGTAGGCCCCACTCTGAGATGGGCTTCTTCAACCCTCCTATATTAAGGAAACATAGTTTCGGAGGCCAAAGCCCACGAGGAAAAGATGCATCCATTCTTGTACACTTTTCTATCCTGAGATGTTTTAAAGAAGTGAGATTCGGCAACTCATGGTCAGGAAATGAATCCATACTTGGACACTCTGATATATATAAACTGTTCAGGTGAATGAAGCAACTCAATTCACTGATGGATTTCAGATTTGGCCAATTACGTATATCTACTGATTCAAGCATCTGCATTTTTGAGTTTATAAGCATTCTTGACTTCTCTCTTCCTCCCAACTCCTTTTCAAGTAGTTTCTTGCAATCGGTGATGGTAAGTGACTTGAGCTTCTGCCCTCCTCCTGTTGGGAAGGAGACGGATGTAATTGAATCACAATTCCAAATATCCAAAGTCTCCATGCTATCAGGACAACTGCAATGCTTCAAGCTGTTACAATCCGATACTCCCAACTCCCTAAAAGATGTTAGGCTACTCCCACAATTATCCTCCTCTTTCTCCCCCTAAACTCACCAAATTTTCACATTTTCTTAAAGCCAACATTTTTAAATTCACAAGAACCTTGCTTGCCTCTGCTTCTGATTCCCACACGTAGTTTATGTCATCACACCCTGTGATGCTTATTTCTTCTACCGCCCCAAGATACTTTGTAACACCTCTCCACAGTTCATCAGTAAGCCCTGAAATATCATCTATTTCCAACTTGGTGATTGATGAAGCTACATCAACCAGGCTTTTCAATACACCATGACCACATTTGCTTAGTTTCAGAACCCTTAGGGAAGGTAGTGCTTCAAGCGAGACCCGAAGCAGATTAGGACAATCTTCAATACGAAGCTCTTGAAGGCAAGGAAACGCCCCACTATTTGCTGACCATTCCTCCCAGCCCTCCATATCTCTAAAACTTAGACTTTCTAATGACGGGAATGCACGACCAGGTCCAAGTAACTCCAAATCTACAACCTTCACCTTACTCATCCCACCAATATACAGATCCTTCAGTGATGGTAATTGCCCAAGTCTTGGTAGAGATGTACATTTAGGGCAATAATTGTTGAGTATGAATCCACAGAAATGTTGAGTGTGAATCCACAGAAATGTTGAGTGTGAATCCACAGAAAAGCTGGTCAAAATTGGCAGGAACAATGTGAAGTTGTGAAGCCACAATTGTTGAATGAAGACCCAGTTGTGTTTTTTGACTACTTCTGATTTCCATCTCTATATAAGAGATTATTCTGTATTTGTAAAACTTGTATCTCTTGTTAGGATCGAGACACTTAACACACGACTCTAAACACACACACAGCTCACGAAAAAACAAGAACACAAGGATGAACACGAGGGATTTAACGTGGTTCGGTCCTTCTCTGACCTACGTCCACCGGTAACTAGGAGTTTATATTTCTTGGTGATAATCTGCACTCTTTCTTTGTTACACTAGATACAAGTTTTACAAATGAAAGGAAGAAGCCTATTTATAATATTTTGAGTCGTAAGTTTTTTCTTCCATTCACATACATGTGAAATTGATAAGGCCACCATTGTTGAAATTCTGCAGCCGTAACAATTTTTCCATGTTCACATGAGAGTCCTTGTTTCCTGCCACTTCTTTTGACTAACCCAATGGCTTCACACTCAACAATCTCCCACTTGAAGCCACGGAACAATCTTCACCTGTGCTTCAACTGTGCATCTGTATTTGATCTTAACTCCTTCCTAGTTACCCTGGCCTTCTCTTCAATTAACCTGAAGGCCAGTTGAAGCTTTCGTTAGCTCCAACACATCAGTCATGGCTAAGTCTGCCACTGACCTGTTCTCTGTCTCCATCGGCTCCCACTGAAATGAACTGCCCGATCCTGGAACATCCAGAGAACAAACGACACTCTCCATGTGAAGCAGATAATCTGGAGAGACTTTTACAGATGGAATACTGGTTCTCTTAACCCACTGTGTTCTGGGTATTCTAGCTGAAGCACAACCCTTGCTCCCACTGCTATGAATGCCCTTGACTGGTTTTTCTGAACCGTTCCAAACACGTTCAACCTGAATCTGACCTGTGACTCTGGGTTTGCCATCTGCAAAGCAAACCTTCTTCTGTCCACGAGACTCTATGAACCAGATTTTGTTTTTCTTCTGAACTGGGACGGTTACTCCCTCAGATGGTAATCTGACCATATATAATGAACCCCTCTTATGTCCACGAGCTATTACAAGATTTCCTTTGACAACCTTCCACTGCCCATTCCTGAACTTAACCTCGTGTCCCTGTTCATCCAACTGCCCAACAGAAATCAATTGTTTCTTCAGACTTGGAATTACCCGGACATCCTTCAAATTCCATGGACCGACTGGAGTCTTCAGATCTAAGTCACCTATGCTCGTCACATCAAGAACCTCATCGTTCGCCAGTCTTACCTTACCAAAATCCCCTTCTATCAGATTCCGCAGTGCTTCACGGCTGTGGGTAGCGTGAAATGAAGCACTCGAATCCATAACCCAGGAATCCACATTGCTCTCCACACTACAGATCAAAACATCATCATCTGAATGGTCTACTGCAACGTTAACTTCTTTCTTGTCTTTTGGACATTGATTCCTGAAATGTCCAACCTCTTTCCAGTTCCAACAAGTCACATCATTTCGAGCCCTCGAGTGACTCCTTCTCCTGTTCCCGCTTCCACTACCTCTGTTATTTCTTCTACCTCTGACCGCATTCAATTGTTCACTTGATGATTCCCCGGAATTTCTTCGTCTGACGTCTTCGCCTAGAATTAAATCCCGAATTCCCTCAAAAGTGAGCTCTTTCGATCCTGCGGAACTAGTAACGGCTGTAACTGTTCCGGACCAACTGTCAGGTAATGATGATAACAGTAGTAAAGCTTGAACTTCGTCCTCAAATTTTATTCCCACTGACCCATGTCTGGATAAAATCGAGTTCAAATTGTTGATGTGTACTGTAACTGAACTTCCTTCCCTCATCCTCGTGTTGACTAGTTCCCGAATCAGGAAGACTTTATTTGCTGCCGACGGCTTCTCGTACATATTAGACAATGCCTCCATGATTCCCTTTGCCGAGGTCTCCTTCAAAATATTGAAGGCAACATCCTTTGACAACGTCAGTCTAATAAATGCCTTGGCCTTCTTATCCAAAGTCTCCCAGTTTGCCTGTGTCATTGCCTCCGGTTTTTCACCTAAAACTGCGTCCAAGTCTTTCTGTACGAGCAAATCTTCAATTTGCATCTTCCACCAACCAAAATCTTTCCCATCAAACTTCTCAATCTGAAGCTTACTGCTTTCTGCCATTTTCTGAAAGAACAATGACCTATCTTGCAATTTTTCAAATCTGCTACAGGGACGCTACAGTGACGCTACAGTGTCGCTACAGTGACGTCTTCTCCGGCAGGTCTCCGGCGTACAGTGTCGTCTTCTCCGGCAAGGCTCCGGCGCTACAGTGTCGTCTTCTCCGGCGAACTGGTTTTCCGGTCACTATTCCGGCTAACCTTTGACCGGCGATTTGGACGTCTTCCGGTGGTCGAAAAATTCAGAAAAAAATATTTTCGGAATCTTCGGAACGAGACCTTTCCAACGGTATACACCAAAATCGTTTTTGACGAAAAAAAATTTCGACCAAAAAACTGAAAATCACCTTCTGGAGCTAAAACCTTGCTCTGATACCACTTGTTAGGATCGAGACACTTAACACACGACTCTAAACACACACACAGCTCACGAAAAAACAAGAACACAAGGATGAACACGAGGGATTTAACGTGGTTCGGTCCTTCTCTGACCTACGTCCACCGGTAACTAGGAGTTTATATTTCTTGGTGCTAATCTGCACTCTTTCTTTGTTACACTAGATACAAGTTTTACAAATGAAAGGAAAGCCTATTTATAATATTTTGAGTCGTAAGTTTTTTCTTCCATTCACATACATGTGAAATTGATAAGGCCACCATTGTTGAAATTCTGCAGCCGTAACAATTTTTCCATGTTCACATGAGAGTCCTTGTTTCCTGCCACTTCTTTTGACTAACCCAATGGCTTCACACTCAACAATAATATATCGACACCTCAGTCAGCAGACGAAATGAGGGATCCCCAACCCAATTTGGAAACTCTGTACCTCTATATGAATTCATTCTGAGTTTTTCTAGAGTACCATTATTAGGCTCCAGCTCATTGAGGACCTGTTTTTTCAAGTGTTTCCCTTCGAAGAACATTAAACTCATCACCCCAATCCAACACTAACTCAGTAAGCCTCTTTTGTGATAATTTCACCTCACGTGCATCCATTGCATTCTGCACATTGCCGGCCAGCCCCACAATACGTACTCTCCCATGGAGTTTTTGCAATTTCTTAAGCTCGGTTATTGGTAAGCGAATGTCACAGGAGAGAGTTTGTATACTTTTCAACTCACCAATCCCTAAGGGCATCTTCTCCAACATCCAACTACCGCTCATGTCAAAATGCTGCAAATTTTTAAGCTTTGAGAAGCTCTCAGGCAATTTTTCCAAACTATCACAGCCAGAAACAATTAGCGTCTGTAAATTACAAAGATTGCAGACATTTTCTGGTATATAGGTAATTCTAGTTCGAGATAGATTAAGATACCGCAGGTGCTTCATACTACCAACGACTTCTGGTACCTCGGTTATGCTAAGATCACTCAAACTTAGGACTCTTAACAATGGTAACTCCTGAAGTAAGTCATTCAGGACCTTGTTTGATAAGTAAAATGTTTTCCACCATCCTACCCTCTCAACAGACAATGCTAAAAATGTTCTCAAACTTTTAGCTCCTTTGAGTGGCTCAAACCTTTCGTAAACCATGTAATCCTCAAACACAAATGACATATGGCGGTGCTTTTGCAATGCTTCCTTCCTACCATACTCCTTAATCCCAACATCTAGCCTTAAAAAAAAATCTCCAGACATGGCCAAGTCATTAATGAGGTCATGCATCACAAACAATGATCCGTCATCAGATGAATGTTGAAAAAACGACCTCGACAACAGTTCCTCAAAATATTCAAGACCCAAGTGTTTCATGGACTTGCTTATAGTGGAGTGGTGCAAAGACCCTTCTGCCATCCATAACATAATCAACTCCTCCTTGTCAAACACATAGTCCTTGGGAAACAAGGAGCAGTATGCAAACAACTGCTTCAAAGAGGCAGAAAGATCATTGTAGCTCAGTCTAAGAGCCGGAATAATCTCATCTTTATTTCCTAACCTCCAAATCTCACTATTTAACAACACCTTCCATTCTTCCTCATCTTTCTTCGTCCTCAATAATCGTCCAAGTGCTCTTAAAGCTAATGGCAAGCCATCACATTTTTTCACAAACCCTTCACCATAGGGTTTAAGTGTTGGATGTGAATCAAAGTTATCTACACCC